TCTGTTCTCCAGATATGTCATCTACTGCCTTTATTGAGCCATTGCCAGTTATTGAATTTGTAACTCAGCTACTGAATCGGGATGTTACACATAGGCCACTTTCCGATTCTGATCGTGTAAAGGTTAGGTTTTGCTCATTGTCTTCGTCTTGGTAATTTGATTGTTTCTCTTCTGAGTGTTTGCTCCAAAGTATGATAATGATTGTGTTGGTATTTCTAATTGGTTCCATTTTTTGTTGTCTTTTTGTTTGTTAAATTAACTTTCATGTGTGTCGAACTTTTTGGCTGGGGTTTCTCATGTAGTTTTGTAAGAGGTTTATGTTCTTAAAACTATATTGTTTTTAAAATCTTATTCTATTGAAGGTGCATGTATCATGATGAATGTACAATTTAATTTCCCATTAATTTTATATATTATATGTCATTACCATTACATTTTACTTGTGTAAACAGATAAAAAAGGCTCTTCGTGGAGTCAAGGTTGAAGTAACACACCGAGGAAATATGCGCAGAAAATACCGTATATCTGGTTTAACGTCGCAGGCAACGAGAGAATTGACGTGAGTATTAGTATCTTAGGCTATCATATGCTTGTATATTTCTTAATGTCATATTGTTTTTGAGGTCACATTGAGATGCATGTGTCTTAGGCTATACCACATAGGTGTATGCATCCTATGCGCAGAAAATGCGTATTATATTTCTTAATGACGAGAGTGTATCTTAGGCTATCATACGCTTGTATTGTTCTCAATGTTATTGTTTTTAAGATCACATTGAGCTGCATGAAACTTGTTTCCCTGACATTGTGTTTTTGTCTTGTCAGTTTTCCTGTTGATGAAAGAGGAACTATGAAATCTGTTGTTGAGTACTTTTATGAAACCTATGGTTTTGTCATTCAACATACACAATGGCCTTGCCTTCAAGTTGGAAATCAGCAGCGGCCGAACTATTTACCCATGGAGGTGAGTCGTTGCTATAATTACTAGCCTGTCATACTGTGGGGATATGCATGCTAATAGATAGTCATTGCTTTCAGGTTTGTAAAATTGTTGAAGGGCAGAGGTACTCTAAGAGATTGAATGAGAGGCAGATTACTGCTTTGCTTAAGGTGACCTGTCAGCGCCCTCACGACAGAGAACAAGATATCATGCGGGTGCGTTATCTTTTGCTTCTTCTATTTTCTTTCCTCCTCCCCCCTTTCCCTGTCTCCTTCTTTCCCTCTATATCTCGACATACAAGAATTAATTTCATTGCTATAGAGTTTCTTTTGAGCTTGGCTTATTCTGGTGTTGCATATGTCACTAGTAATACTTTAGGCTTACTCTTTCAAGAAGTGGTGATTTATGAGCCCTATACTTGTTGCATTGGTATTTGATAATTTCCCGGAAGTTCACCAACAAAATGTTGATTCTGATGCTCTCACCTTGTGATCCTTAACTTTGTATCTTGTGTCATAATTTAAGTGCTGGTGTTACTTGATATTTTATTGGCATGTTATGCTCTATCTTGAAATTCTGTAGATGGTGATATTTTAAGTTCTCATGTTTATGTCTATGCAAATATCACAGACTGTCCGTCATAATGCTTACCATGAAGATCCTTATGCAAAGGAATTTGGAATCAAAATTAGTGAGAATCTGGCTCAGGTTGAAGCTCGCATTCTTCCTCCGCCCTGGGTAAGATCTGTTATTGTTTTTTGTCCAAAAATGTATTGCGGATGGTGCATCTGTATTGACTTTTGTCTTGCAGCTTAAATATCATGATACTGGAAGGGAAAAGGATTGCTTGCCCCAAGTTGGACAATGGAACATGATGAATAAGGTAATATTCTGCATCAATGTTATATTATTGTATGCAGTATACATTTCACCTGTACAGTGCTTATGGCACCCCTCTAGTCCATTGATTACATTGGCTTAATTTTGTGGTCAATGCCTTGTGGTTGTGCCTTATTTTTCGACGAAAGAACAAAGAGGCCTGTTTACTTATCTATACATCGAATTTGTTAATTCCTTTAATTCCCATGTCTTGTTGAATTATTACAGACCATTTCTTATTGTTGCAGAAAATGGTTAATGGGGGAAAAGTAAACAATTGGATTTGCATTAATTTCTCAAGGAATGTCCAAGACAGTGTGGCCCGTGGATTCTGTTCTGAACTTGCTCAAATGTGTTACATTTCTGGCATGGTACGATGCTTTTCTGCTGGCTTTAATTATACTTTACAGTTTCTATATTTGTAAATTCCTGATTGCTGAAATGTTGCTTGTATTTAGGCTTTTAATCCAGAACCAGTTCTTCCACCGTTCAGTGCTCGACCTGATCAGGTGGAGAAGGTCTTGAAAACTCGGTACCATGATGCGATGACTAAGCTTCGGGTCCAGGGCAAGGAGCTTGACTTGCTTGTTGTTATTTTGCCAGATAATAATGGTTCTCTTTATGGTATGTGTTTGAAATCAATTGACTCCATTCTCTCATTATTTTTCCTCAGAATAATGTGTAGACTTTTATTGGCCTAAAGTTTTTGACTCATGTATGTTATGATATCTGATCCAGGTGACTTGAAACGAATCTGTGAGACGGATCTTGGCCTGGTATCCCAGTGCTGTTTGACGAAACATGTATTTAGAATGAGTAAACAATATTTGGCAAATGTAGCATTGAAGATAAATGTAAAGGTTGGGGGAAGGAACACAGTGCTTGTTGATGCACTGTCAAGACGTATTCCTTTAGTCAGCGACCGGCCTACTATAATTTTTGGTGCTGATGTTACCCATCCTCATCCAGGGGAGGATTCAAGCCCATCAATTGCAGCTGTATGTTATCGAACATATCTACGAGCTTGTAGATATTGTTTTGAATTCATTTAAAGTTAGGCCTTAATTGTTCAAATGTATTTCTTTATAACACAGGTTGTGGCTTCTCAAGACTGGCCTGAGATTACTAAGTATGCTGGTTTGGTTTGTGCTCAAGCCCATCGCCAGGAGCTCATCCAAGATCTTTTTAAAACCTGGCAGGATCCTGCGAGGGGGACAGTTTCTGGTGGAATGATAAAGTCAATCTCTCTCTTTCTCTCTCTCTCTCTAAACTTTTGTTATTTTTTTTTTTACTATGGATTCTTAGGAATTGAAGAACTTAATTAATTTTTTTAATTAATGCAGGGAACTGCTTATTTCGTTTCGTAGAGCAACAGGGCAGAAGCCACAGCGCATCATATTTTACAGGCATTTTTAAAAGTCCTTTTGCCATTGTTTGCGTCTTATGTGCTTCTCCTGTGTCTAATGATGGTATGTGTACACCTTTGTTTTTTCAGGGATGGTGTCAGTGAGGGGCAGTTCTACCAAGTTCTACTATATGAACTTGATGCAATTCGTAAGGTAAAGCTAATATTGTTGAGATTAATCTTCAGTTATCTATTGTCGTGTATTAATCTGTCTTTCCTCTTGTTAATTTTTTTTTTCTTCAGGCTTGTGCTTCATTGGAGCCAAACTATCAGCCTCCTGTGACTTTTGTTGTGGTTCAGAAACGTCATCATACAAGATTGTTTGCCAACAACCATCATGATCGCAATACAGTTGACAGGAGTGGGAATATCTTACCTGGTAATTAATCGTTTTAAATATGAAATGTTCTAACCATGTAGCTCAGTTTTCATACTTGTGTTATGGAACTCTCACTTTATTGTTTCTTCAGGTACGGTCGTGGACTCCAAAATCTGTCATCCAACGGAGTTTGACTTCTACCTTTGCAGTCATGCAGGAATTCAGGCAACAAGTCTTCCTTGTGTTTCTCTTGAGTGTGTGTGTGTGTTTTTTTTTTCAAGCAGAATGTTTATAAATGTGTAGCCACTGTGTTATGACAGGGTACAAGCCGTCCGGCTCATTACCATGTGTTGTGGGATGAAAACAAGTTTACAGCTGATGCACTGCAGTCACTCACAAATAATCTTTGCTATACGTAAGCTGGCTGATTTTTCCCCATGCCATATGCCCTAAACAACCATTTTAATTATTGGCAAGTAGTTTTGTATTTTTATGCCTTAAATCTAGTACTGAATAGTTGAACTCCTGCAGATATGCAAGATGTACTCGTTCGGTTTCCATTGGTAAGTTCTCACTGCTGATTCACACAATTGTATATACGTTTGAGCCAATATGCATCCACTGCTTTTATTTATTTTGTTGCTCATGTTTATGTGAATACTGTGCTGATTAATCTTTAATGGCAGTTCCTCCTGCGTACTATGCCCATCTTGCTGCATTTCGAGCTCGGTTCTACATGGAACCAGAGACATCAGACAGTGGATCGATGACAAGTGGTGCTCCTGGACGTGGGGGCATGGGTGCACGTAGCACACGAGCACCAGGTGCAAATGCTGCTGTGAGGCCTTTGCCGGCCCTCAAGGAAAATGTCAAAAGGGTTATGTTCTACTGTTAGAGGGGCCTTCCTTGGTAGAAGTTAAGTTGACAATGTCCCATAAGAATGTAGTAGATGCACACATTGTAATGTCGTTTTGGAATTTGCAGAGGGTGTTATAGCCGTGGTGCTCCCTTTAGGTGTCGTGGTCAAGAATCTGAAATTTCCCATTGCAACTGGTTTTTAGGATGCTTAGTTTAGTTACATGTTCCATGAGATGGAATTGGACAACTAGTGGCTTTCAGTTGTATTGAAAGGGAGGAAAAACAATTGGTAGACTTGAACTTGAATCTGGTGTAGGAAGGAAGGAACCTTTGGAAATGAATTCACTGCTCTGCTCTTGATTTTTCAGATGATTAAACATTTGATTGAAGTGGATTCTTGTTCTTGGTGTCATGATTCGAGCATTTAAAATTAGTGATTAGCATATAACTCTAAAAACATCATCCTGCACTTCTACATGAAATATAAGAACGTCGGTGAACATAGAGGAAAGAACTAGGATTATGAGTACTTTTATTTTCTTCCTAAGAAAAGAATGGCTCAATCAAATGATTTGAGGTTGGTGTGGTGTTGCTCGCTCGTTCGCTCGTACAAGTAGAATGCAGGAATATTCATAGATAGAGACAACGTGTATGTAACCTTGGAGATTGAAACAACAAACAAGTAAAGAATCAAAATACACACGTTACGGAAAAGCCCAACAACGAATTACTTGAGATTCTTTCCCTCCACTTTAAAGATTAGATACAGGCAGAGAGACACAAAAAGGCAAAATCCGATTTGCTAGCTTCTAACCAATCTTAAAAATTCCTTTCTTTCCTACAAATGGCATTAAAGAATAAAGTCTGGGTGTTCTTTCTTTCTCCTCCCATGGCAACTTTGAGCCAGCCACGCATATAATATATATACATTAAGTTCCCTATAACTTCATAACATCAAACCAACTTGAATATTGGTTGTATATCTATCTTTGTTTTAGTTTACTGAATATTCGTCTCTCTTTACTTTTTTCGTAATACTGGTACTGCCTTGCCTTAAGCCTTGTTGATTTCATAAATGGCTTCTACCCCGGCCTTGAAGCGATCGGATACGATTGCAGAAACCATGCCTGATGCACTGAGACAGAGCCGCTACCACATGAAGAAATGTTTTGCCAGGTTCTTTATTTTAATTTGATCGAGAATGTATAATATATATATTATACATATGTGTGTGTTAGCGAAAATTGATGCTGATCTTCTTCTTCTATTTATGTATATGGGAACAAAAAGGTTTGTTGCAATGGGGAAAAGGTTAATGAAGATGCAGCATGTAATGGAGGAGTTGGAAAAATCAATAGAAGACAAGCATGAAAGAAGCAAGGTCTTGGAGGGATTACTTGGTTACATCATCAGCTCCACTCAGGTATATATAATATATATATATCATACAATGATACACACACACGCAACTATATATATAGCAATCAGGGCATGCAATTCTGAATTTGAATTAATGACAATAAACATGAACTGGCGCAGGAGGCGGCTGTTGTTCCACCGTATGTTGCTTTTGCGGTAAGACCGAATCCTGGTTTCTGGGAATTTGTTAAGGTGAATGCTGATGATCTAGCAGTGGATGGCATCACTGCTTCCGAATACTTGAAGTTCAAAGAAATGATATTCGACGAGAACTGGTACGTATAGTATTTGTATTTGTATTTGTATTTGTATTTGTATGTGCAATATATTTTGCAAGCTGCAGCTATATTGAGTTGAGCTTACTTCCATGCATTGCTTTGCACTGCACTCCACAGGGCCAATGATGAAAATGCTCTGGAAATAGATTTTGGAGGCATTGACTTCGCCACTCCTCGCATGAAGCTTCCTTCTTCAATCGGGAATGGTCTCAACTTTATCTTAAAGTTAATCTCCTCAAGGCTGGCTACTGCCAACTCATCCGATTATGCCAAACCCTTGCTTGACTACTTATTACAACTTCATTATCATGGAGAGGTACTTGATCTTGATCTCATTTCATTGTTTCATGTTAATTATTATTAATATTAATTACTCCATCTTCAATTTGTGGCCTGTATTTTCTTCTCATATTATAATTATCTATGTATACATGCCAGAATCTTATGATCAACGAAACTCTGGATACGTTTGCAAAACTTCAAACAGCCTTGATCCGAGCAGAAGTAGTTGTGTCTACACTCCCAAAGGCCACACCATTTCCGAATTTTGAGCAAAGGTCTCTCTCGCTCTTACCTTAATTGTTTAATAAATTTTAGGATTTAGGACTCACTTGTACATATATTAATAGTTTTTATGATGATCAGGTTAAAGGAGTTGGGTTTTGAGAAAGGATGGGGGGATACAGCAGAAAGAGTTGGAGAGACAATGAAGATGCTATCAGAAGTACTCCAAGCACCAGACTCAGCCAAGTTGGAGTGTTTCTTTAGCAGACTTCCTAACACATTCAACATCGTCATCTTCTCTCCTCACGGCTACTTTGGCCAGTCTGACGTTCTTGGATTGCCCGACACTGGCGGCCAGGTGGTTTATATTCTTGATCAAGTCAGAGCCTTAGAGGAAGAGTTGCTCCTCAGAATAAAGCAGCAAGGCCTTGCTGTCAAGCCACAGATTCTTGTGGTGAGCTAGACTACTGTCATAAACAAACAACTGATGATCCTTGTTGTCTTGCAACTTGAAATTCTAATTCATTTTTACTTGTACCTACATGATCATATACTTACGTACGCTGTACACAGGTGACACGACTCATACCAGATGCTCGAGGAACAAAATGCAACCAGGAGTTGGAAGCTATCATCAACACTAAGCACTCCCACATCCTCAGGGTCCCATTCAGGACACACAGAGGGATTCTCCGCCAATGGCTTTCTCGTTTTGATATCTACCCTTATCTTGAGACATTTGCACAGGTATCATTTCTTCCTATAAATACATACATGTATAATTTATTTTTGGACCAACATGTACAACTTTGTTGATTTTTTTTTTCCTTTTGTTCTCATTGTTAATTAGGATGCAACTGCAAAGATCTTAGAACGCATGGAATGCAAACCAGACCTCATAATTGGGAACTACAGTGATGGAAACTTGGTGGCCTCTTTGATGGCTGGCAAACTTGGAATAACTCAGGTGTCTAAGTTCAACCACCTCTCCCTCCTTCAATAATTGTTTCAAAAACAGATTAATTTTACTTTGAATCTGAAATTAACATGTTCTGAACATCTGTCCTGCAGGGAACAATCGCTCATGCTCTAGAAAAGACCAAGTACGAAGATTCAGATGCCAAATGGAAGGAGTTTGATCCAAAGTACCACTTCTCTTGTCAGTTCACAGCTGACATAATCTCTATGAATTCAGCTGATTTTGTCATAACGAGCACCTTTCAAGAAATAGCCGGAGGGTTAGTAGCACTAGTCTTTCTTGCCAAAAGTTCTACTTCCATGATGCCATTCATAATCATAATCAGTGTGTTTATTTCTTCATGTATGCAGCAAGGACCGGCCTGGACAGTATGAAAGCCATACAGCATTTACAATGCCAGGACTTTATCGAGTAGTTTCAGGCATTGATGTATTTGATCCAAAGTTCAACATTGCGGCCCCTGGGGCTGACCAATCTGTCTACTTTCCCTGCTCCGAGAAACAGAGACGCTTTACCAAATTTCATCCTGCCATTGAAGAACTGCTCTACTATAAGGCGGAAAACGATGAGCACATGTAATTAAACTCTCTCTCTCTCTCTCTGCCTACAATTGAGAAAATTTACTGAAGAGTCTGTCAACACACACACACAGTTGTTGTACTACACCACCACATTACTCTTTTCAATTGCCTAACAACAAACTCTTACAAAATTATAAATTCAAAAAAATGCTTGGAACAGAGGATATTTGGCAGACAAGAAGAAACCCATCATCTTCTCAATGGCAAGACTGGATACAGTGAAGAACCTCTCAGGACTAGTTGAATGGTTCGGGAAGAACAAGAGGCTGAGGAGTTTGGTCAATCTTGTTATAGTAGGAGGATTCTTTGACCCATCCAAATCCAAAGACAGAGAAGAAATTGCAGAAATTAAGAAGATACATGCCTTGGTACAAGAATACAAACTGACGGGTCAGTTCAGATGGATAGCAGCTCAGACTGATCGATATCGCAACGGAGAGCTGTACCGCTGCATTGCAGATACAAGGGGAGCATTTGTGCAGCCAGCACTGTACGAAGCTTTTGGTCTAACAGTGATCGAGGCCATGAACTGTGGCTTACCCACATTTGCAACCAACCAAGGAGGCCCTGCAGAAATTATTGTTGATGGAGTATCAGGCTTCCACATCGATCCAAACAATGGTGATGAATCCAGCAACAAAATTGCTGACTTTTTTGAGAAATGCAAGACAGATGGGGACTATTGGAACAAGATGTCAGCGGCCGGTTTGCAGCGTATATACGAATGGTAATTAGTTACTTAGTTATACTATACTTAGAATAATGCATAAAGTTTTATGAATGAATGTTATATATTTTTGTTTTTGGTTGCAGCTATACATGGAAGATATATGCAAACAAAGTGTTGAACATGGGATCCACTTATGGATTCTGGAGGCAGTTGAGAAAGGAGCAAAAGCTTGCCAAGCAAACATACATTCATATGTTTTACAGTCTCCTCTTTAGGAATTTGGTAAGTCCACTACTCTAACTCTGTTTGGATTTGGACTTTGCAGTATACTATATTTATGCATACATACATAATACATTATACATATACTTATACTTACTATGAGTAATAGTATGAGGCAGTAAAAAGTTGTGTGTTTCGTACTGCAGGCAAGGAATGTAGGTATCCCAAGTGATGGTTTCGAGCAACCAACGGCCAAGGCAATAACTGCAGCTGGCCAACCAACCCCAGTTGCACCACCAACCTCACCAATCCCTCAGCTGATCACTCCAACACCAAGGTTTCATCATTATTTAGATTAGTAGCTTAATTACACTGCATGCATGCATAATATTGTGTTATGCTACTTTGATTTCCTGTTTAATAATATGACATTGAGAATTTTGGTTAGTTTTGCTTTACTTCAAATCTTGAAGTGAGAATAGATATTTTAATGGCAGGGAGAGGTCTGAAGGTTTCGAGGAGAAGCAGAAACAGCAGCAGCTGGGCGAACCTCGAAGCATCACGGCACGCTGCATCTTGAATTGCTGTTGCGTGATCATTGGTTTTCTCATCCTTGTTTACTACAAGATAAGGAATATGTACAACTACAACTAATGGAGCTTGTTTTGTTGTGTGTTGTTGATGTAAGATGATCAACTCACAAACAAAACAATGAATGAATAGTCATGTAAATTCTCCAATTTCCAATAAATTCAATAAACATATCATTAATTGTTATACTCTCACACGGTATCAATCAATCAATCAATCATTCATTCAATCAAATAACTGGACAAGAAGGGAACAAAAGAGAGATAGAGAGGTTGCGCACTGGGCAGTGGCGTGGGGGTTGGGCTGGGCAATGTCTTACGAGTTGCAGACGCTAGCGATAGCACGGGACAATTAGTCCCTCCATCCCATGTGGGTTTCACTAAGAACACCAAAGGAGTTGTTTTTAGTGGGTCCAGGATCACCAATCCCAATTAAGCTTTGAACCGCATGACAGCAAACATGAGATAAATTATTATCCAAGGTAGTCCAAGTCAAGGAGGTGTAACAAACGAGCCTTAGTGGATCCATCCAGTACCAAAAAGACTTTAAGCCGTAATATAAGGATCATATAAATCCAACATCTTATGAAGATAAAAAAAAAACCGAATCCTAAACTAGAAACTAAACGGAACCCTCTGCCCCACCTCGTTTGTTTGTTTATGTAGTTATAAATATATTAATGAATTGAATTTGATAAATATGTGAAGACGAAGAAATATGAAGAAAGATGAAGAAAATGAGTGGGTGGTGTTTGCTTTGCTTGCTGGCTGATGTAGATGCAGATGCAAACCCTCGGTGGACCACTTTGGTTTTGAATTACTTTTCGGACGTAAAAATGAAGTAAACGACGACCATGCCGTTGCCAATGCTGCACATGCATTTGCCCACTTGCTCTTTAAATACACGTCATTTAATTTGCACAATATACTTGGAATAAAGAAACATAACATTTTAACATGAAAGGTATCCCAAAGTTTATCAATCAATCAACTAGGAATTTGGCTAGCCCTAATTTTCTCAAGAAAGTAATTGGTTGAAAGTTTTGTTGTATTACAAACGTCAAAATATACATGTATAGCCTTCTATCAATCCTACTATTAATGCTTTGAAGCCGTGATCCAATATTAATGGGATTTGACCTACACTAATTTGGGCAAGTAAGGATATTTCTTAATAAATTTGGACAAATTATCTTTCTAGTTCTAGTTCTAGTTCTAGATATGGGATGATTTGTTAGAGGGAAAAAAAAAAAAGGAAATTGATTTGTTATGGGATTATTAATTTTGATATGGCGACTCTTATAAAAGTTGAATTGATGTATGTGATCATTAATTAGTTAATAGTCCCTTTGGTATCGTAATAATGTAGGAAATGAATGAGAGCCACCCACGAGTTCACGAGATAAGACAATAAGCTTGTGGATGGATGGATGGAATATATTTGGGAATCTTTGAATTATAATAATAATAATTCACTTGAGTCTCGACTGAAAATCAAAATCAAATACGCAAATTCCTCATCCTCATCGTCATCATAGATTCATAGATTCATAGATTCATAGATTCATAGTTCTTGTAGCTGAATTTCATTGACACAAAAGAAAACAGTTTGAAAAGTCCTCTCCCTCCCTCGAAATATCTCTCTTTGTAAATTTGTCAACAACGTCTTCCGAATCATCGTGTCTAATAACAAGTCTTTTGGAAAAACAAACAAGAGTAATAATATAATAAAAGGCCCCATAAAATGTTAAACACGAATGGGTGGTCTTTGGTTTATCTATTAGACTATTAGGCAGCCATCTGTTGACTTTGCCCAAACCCTCTCTAACTCAATTCAGGAAAATTCTTTCCTCTAGAAACTTTTACAACTCCAAATTCATTATTATTTTTTAAATTTTGAATAAAGCTTTTTGTTTGGTGTGTGAAAGATTTTACATTTAGTGGACATGACATGTATTAATTCCTAAACACTACTTAGAAAGGGCCTTGTTTTGTCTGTCCGCTTCAATTCAAGTTAAAATATTATAATTATTATATAGGATGCCGGGTCTCTCCATTTAAAGACTACGCATTTACCCGCATTTCGTTAAATCTTGGCCGTTATAACAATCTAACCCCTTAGAACATGACACATCATCAATTTTTTTTCCTTCTCTAAACAGATGTTAACTATTTCTGTTAGTTCGGAATTTTTTTGGCTTTCGCATTGTTGTCTGGTCAACTTAGAGCGTTTTGCTTTTTCTTTTCCGTGTGTTCTGTCATCTTCTTCTTTCTTCCTGCCTGATTGATGGCCTCTCCCTAAAACCGTGGTTGTATTAATCTTCAAACTCAATCAAGTTAAAAATAGATTTTTTCTTTTTTTCATCATGCATAAACTCACAAATAAAACTTAACATCTGTTTAGGAAAGTAAAAAAAATACTTGATGATGTGTCATTAGATTATTATAACGGTCTAAATTTCACTAAATACAGGTATGTTTGTTTGGACTGCCCCAGTTAGTAGTTACCTTACCTAGTACCCTCCCTCTTCGATTGCTCGCTTCGATTTTCCATTTATATATAATAAAAAATAGTGGGGTCGACTCGGGGGTATTTTATATGTAGATTGTTTTTTATTTTACTTTATGAGAGAGGTTTTTATGTTTAAAAAAATGAAGTAATATTATAGCGCAAGGCAGGCAGGCAGGCAGGCAGAGAAGGCAAGCGATTCTAGCCAGGCAACCCAGTAGTTGACTTGAACATATAAAGGATGCATAATTAGCAAAAACAAGGAGGGAGGAAGGCTAGCCAATCCAGATTCCAGATTCCAGATTCCAGTTCATAAATCATAATTCTAGGTGAGACATCGACCACAAGTAAGTAAGAATGAGTAAATCACCGGTAGGCGGCGGAGGAGGAGGAGGAGTCTTCCATGACCCTGAAGTTGGCGGCAACGACAAGGCCAATATTATTATCAATAATACAACTAGTAGTATTGATCAGAATATGAATCCAATGATATCCAGCTGCGGGATTGGGAGTGGCAGTGGATTGGTGACGAAGAAGAAGATGAATATTGTGAGGATGACACTGCTGTTTGTGGGGATGACTGTGGCTTGCTTTATTTTCTACAATTCTGTCTTTCCTTCCAGATTTCTCCCCATGTCCTTATATGACTACACCGGAACCACATCTTCTCAGGCAAGTCAACTTCTTTTCTGCCATCAATCAAATTCCAATATTCAAACTCCTCTGGATCATGTCTTGATCCCAATTCTTTTTTTTTATTTTTCTTTTGGGGGAGTCAAAATCCCAATCCCAACACCGGCATGCTCTGCTCTACTTTTACTTCTTGTGTTGTGTGATGAAGATTCATATTATTATTATTATTATTATTATTTTACACACATGAGCATGACAAATTGACAATCAAATACTAGTTGCACACTGGTGGATTCTTTTTCCGGTCAAAGCTGCTGTAATTTCATTACAAACTAAACCAGCCTTTATAAATTTTAATATCTTCATTGGATCCATCCATGGATTCCATGCCATCCCAACTTTATTATTCAATCAATGCTTGCTTCATTTGGATTATTCTTTACTTTTCAGTTTTCTCTTCTTAGTATATATGATTATATCGTTGTTTGTTTCCTCTGTCTTTTTTTTGTTTGTGGATGCTACTTGTTTCAATTCAACTTCAACCAATGAATTTGACTCAAAAAGGCATAATGCTTTTACACATGTATGCCCGGCTGTCCACTGTGGCGGGCTTTACTCCCCTGGGGCCTGCCCAGCCTGGGCCCATCTTATCTTATGCAATTCCTTCCCACTACCAACACTTAGAAGGGTGGTTGGTTGGTTGTTTAAATGATTAAATCCAATCCTTTATTGCAATTGCAATTGCAGGGCAACGACCATGTATTGGATGCGGTTCTGCAAAATGCATCCATGAAGGACAGAACCATTCTGGTAACTACATTAAACGATGCTTGGGCCGAACCCAATTCCATATTTGATCTGTTTCTGGAGAGCTTTCACATCGGAAGCAACACGACATGGCTGCTCAACCATCTGGTAGTGATCTGCTTGGACCAGAAAGCATATGCTCTTTGCTTAGCCTTGCACCCTCACTGTTACGAGCTCTACACTGAAGGTGCCAACTTCACCAGCGAGGCATATTTTATGTCTTCCGACTACTTGCAAATGATGTGGAGACGGATCCAATTTATGTCCAAAATTCTCGACAAAGGCTACAACTTTGTCTTTACGGTGAGAACAATCTAATCTCCTTTGATTTTGTGTTTTTCTGATTCAAATTGAATTTTTTTCCTTACTTTTGCAATCATCCAATGCACAGGACACTGATATAATGTGGCTCCGGAATCCCTTCCCACAATTCTATACGGATGCGGATTTTCAAATCGCATGTGATTTCTTCAAGGGTGATTCTTACAGCATAAAGAATTTTCCCAACGGTGGATTTACCTATGTCAAGTCCAATGAGCGCACAATTTGGTTCTATAAGTTTTGGTACTTCTCCAGAAAGGCGTATCCAAAGATGCATGACCAGGACGTACTAAACAAGATCAAATCGGATCCCTTGATTTCCCGTATTGGATTGAAAATGAGGTTCTTGGATACCCAATACTTCGGTGGCTTCTGTCAGCCCAGTGACGATTTTAACAAAGTTTGTACCATGCATGCGAATTGCTGTGTTGGTCTCGATAACAAAGTCAATGATCTTAGAATTTTGCTTCAAGTTTGGAGAAAGTTCATGGCTTTGCCTCCCAACGCCACCACCACGGCACATACTTCATGGACCGTTCCACAAAATTGCAGGTATTTTATTATGGATCCTAATTAATTATTTTGTTTACATTTTCCTTTTTTTCATATCTTTTTTAGACTTTTACATTGGAGTCAATCGTGGGTGGGCCCCCCACGCCATGTGATGAAATTGAAAGCAAAATAATTCATTTTTTATGCATTTTCTTCTAGAACCATACGGTTTGTCTTTTCTCTCTTTTTATTTACTTTTTGGCAGTTTGTTCTAGAATGTAGAACTAGAAGGTTTGATGTTTTTCTGTCTGACTTTTTATTCGATTCCAAGTACTTCCTTCCAACGCCTTGGAAAGCACTCGTGACAAGAGAAGGGAATATTGACCTTACGATGTGTAGAGCTTTGTAACATATAATTTACAGGTAATTAAGACTTGTGTATAAATATATGTATTTTTTATTATTATTTATAATTGAATTGCCTCGAATACATCTAACTCGTATACAAGAATCATGTGATGTGTCCGAAAACACTTTTATAATGTTTGCATTATTTATATCAAACAATAATTTGATATATTGTCATATTTCAGGTAGAAGAAAAGGATTGTTTTGTCAAGTCCCAATCCCATCCATGCCACCTATGGAAATGCCACCTTGCTCATCAATCAATCAATTACGCGATTACAAAATCAGTCATTTTACAACTTTTTTGGTTTGTATGTTTGTTTTATTTTGTTTGGCGGAAAACAATGAAAACAAACTAATATATAAGGATTTATTCCAGTTGTTTTAGACAATATTAGTTTATTTTTTGTTTTTTTTTTAAAGGAAGACAATATTAGTATTTTAAATCACAATATGAGCTGCATGAAGACGGATATCCACACCACACGACATGAACAAAGGAAATATAATCCTACCTATAATAGAGGTTGATTATATTGTATTAGTGGGCTCTGTCTCTATTAGAGAAGTAGTACATAATGACAATGCGGTATATAAATATAATAAGTCTATCATTACCCATTGATATATATACGGAGGAATATAGTTTTGAAAGCCACATGACTCAGGAGAATAAATATTTGGGCAACCACTAAGCAGTATCATATTAATGTACATATATATCTAAAATGAATTGAAAAGAAATTAGGTCCAGGTCCATCCATCCATGATCCATCCATCCCCACATTTTTCCCTAAATTAAACGAAAAGAATTAGTCCATCCAGTGGTTGATTTGACTGATTGACTAACCAACGAGCGTGCTTTGAAAAAAAAAAGATTTCCATGATGTTCATGTTGGGCTGGCCTATTCCACTGAGTTGTATTTATTTGGGCCTTAAATAATCAGCATGTGACATGCACGTGGTAGAACTCTTGACTTGAAGGGATTTGGGATTTAGGGATTTGGGCATCTAGCCAGCTTAGAAACTTGAGAGAGAAATAGGAAAAGGAAAATTGAAAACAGGGAGTGAGGGAGGATAGTGGTTCATAAATAACTCAGAAGAAGAAGAGGGCAAATCAAAGATTACAAAGGAAGGGATGTCAGATCCGTTCGAGAGAGTGAAAGCAGGCAGGCTGACCTTCAAAGATGGAAGTGTGGCCACTCGCAGCAAAGCCATCGACAAGAAGAAGAACAAGAAGAAAAAGAAGAAGCAGCAGCTTAATCCTAACGACGATGGCCCTAACTCTACTGGGCCCACCGACCTTGATGTGGTGCCTGAGGACGCAGGCGCAGAAGCAGCAGCCGGAGGACCGGAGACTTACACCATTGACGCGGCGAAGCGCATGAAGTACGATCAACTCTTTCCCGTCGAGGCCAAGAAGTTCGGTTACGATCCCAAATCTGTCGCACACAAGTCCATCGAGGACGCTCTTGACGACCGTGTCAAGAAGAAAGCCGACCGCTACTGTAAATAGATATCAATTTCACACATATCAGTTTCCTATTCTTCTTCTTCTTCCCAATTCCCAGGTCCGTCCCCTTCTTCTTCTTTTACTCGTTCAATTCTTTATTTTTATAATTATTTATTATTAGGGTAGGGATGTGCTTTCAGTATTTCTTAATGTTTTATTGAAATTATGCTTCATTGTGTGTTATACTTGTGTGAAATTTGTTTCTTTTTGTTGTCATTTATTTTAAGCTGCTACTGGTTTCTTTGAATTTGAATTGAATGATCAATGTTTCTTTTGTTTGGAACAAATGATCCACATTTCCTTATGAAGATTCTATAGCCTTCCTTCTCACCTATGTAAGTTGGTCACTTCAAATAACCATTTTTCTCTTTAATGTTCCTGAATTGTTACATGTTTCTTATCTTTTTTGTACCAATAGAATAATCATAATATGCATGGCGTATAATATTTGCTCATGTGCTCTGCCGCCGATCTTCTGCTTAGAGGTCTCAACAACTGACTCTTAATTTGTTATGAGGGCTATTATCACTATCAATCATGCATCTCATCCTGATTCCCACTACAACTTTTTTCTAATTTGTACAAGATTCGTAGAAATTTGCAGCATCTAGTATCAGCTGAACCTAGTTAAAAGTTAAAACTTGTTTTGGTGGGGTAGTTGAAAAGATGTTAATGTTACGTTCCTACATCAATATCATGTTGCATCTTGTTCCTTATTGTTTTTGTTGCAAGTTACTAAATTGTCTCATACCCTCTTTGTTGCCTTCCAGAAGTATGTGCTCATGCACAAGTACAGTAAGCTGCTCATTTGTCTCCTAACATGATTTTGATTTAATTGATGGCAGGAACGGCATGGTGGAGTTGCTGAGTTTGCAGGAATTCTTATTTAGAGACTGCCATTGCATAATTGACCAAACGTACTCAGTTCTGTACTTTTAATTCAAAGATTGCTCCATGCTTACTGTACCCTTGAATATGTTCTATTAGCGGGCGTCGCTGCATCTTGTGGTTGCCTATTTTGTTGTTGCTCTGAATCTTATTGTTTGTTTTTACCTTACCTTGTCATGTTAGTTAGGCATGAATGGATCCATTTATAATTGTACTCGCACTGCCACTTAGTCACAAGCTCTTAAATTTTGGCTCTTGATCTAGTCTACGCATGAATGCAAAGTCTGCAGCCATTAGTTTAGTTGGTTGATGATCGAAAGCATATGAATTCAGAATCGATCGTTCAGGAAAATTCTTTTCTCATTGTTTTTAAAATGAAAATCGCTGTAGAGACTAGAGAGTAGGCATTGTATGTACCTACTCCTCTTCATATTACTATATTCAACTTTTAAAAATACAATTGACAAAGGAGCCAAAGAAAAATATCTCAGAATGTAGGACGCAAATGATGCAAGGCCCAGCATGAAAACAGTGGGATATTAACACCGAGCCGGCACATCGTTAGTACCTGGACATAATTTTTTTTGTCTCAGTTATTAGATAATGTCACACTTTACTGTTGACATTACAGTATTTGAATATGCCAATTCCCTTCAAGATTTAGGGAACATAATTCCACAAAAAAGAACAAAAATGGTATACAATACAAGCAAGCAAGCACCAGGAGCTTTGAATTATTCTTCTGCCTAGATAATTTAGGTCCTGGTCTCTTTCTGTTTGGCATCTGCTTGTCTTTTCCTATAATAGGCTGATGTAGATTGCAGAGATTGAGAGAGAAGGCTGCAAGCTGAATATTGCAATTTGCTAGCCTAGAAAAGAAAATAAAAGGGAAATTCAAGGAACAGCTCCACCTTGCATTGCAATTTGCAAGAAGTCAACGGAAGCACAAACAAGATGCACTGGTTTGGATAAGTGATGATGATGAATATGTAGTTTCCGCCTCAAGGGATTTGAGAGTGATCAAGTTGTCAACTTGCTTTGCGAGATTGTATCTCGATATGTGTGCCACTTTTTATATCTCTGGAAACCAGGAAGAACAGGTCTAAGTCGAGGAGCACCGGTGCACTCCAAACAGCAGCATCCTCTTAAATTCTTCACACAGTTCATACAGCATCTGAAACAGAAACGTGCTTATGTAAGTAAGCATTCAGTCTTCAACTAGTAGTAGTAGACAGACAGACTCCAACACCCAAGCCCAAACGGCTTCTCTGGACAGAAATTGGCTTTCCAAATTTTGGGAGAAAGATTAGCTGGCAAAAGGAACGTACAGATAGAGCAAGTTGCAGTCAAGATTTGCACAGTTTCTATGCCTTAAGTCATTGACTTGTAAACCGCATATATAGCATTGAGCAAATGTATTGTTCTCGGAAACTTCATGCCTGTTTGGTTTAGTTATGGCTTCAGGCTTGTAGGCAGGCGGTGGGAGAGAGAGACGAGAGTCAAATACAAACAAATTCCCAACCCATTGGACAGGACCTTCATTCTCCAGATAATGAGAAACACCTCCCTTTAAGGTGTATAAGTTTTGAAAGCCCTGTTGTCTGCCACATGAAATTAAATTAGACTCCTATAAATGGCCAAAATAAGAAAAATTAAAAAGAGCTACTTCCAACATTGCAACATTATCCTTCCCTCACAACTTTTTTCATTAATCATGCAGTGCAGTTGAATGGGTGACTCTTTAACAAAGCAAATCTGTGGTGAGTGATTGTATTGGAAAAGTAGTAACCATGACTAGACCAATACGCAGGCCTTCGAATTGATCACACTAATACAAAGATTGAATGATATTCACTAGCTGTTGTAGTGCAGGTGATATTCACTTGCAGTAAGAAATGAAAACACACACACAACTTTTTCAATTGTGCATCGGAAACAAGTACAATTTAACCTGGTTGGTCTGCGTAAAGGAAAACAGGTGGTAGAAAAAATGTTGTGTTACCTTAAAATTGTAGAATATACATCACAACGAATACCTCCAGTGCAATACATCAATATATCAGTTTTTTCTTTATCAACATTTTCTAATGGATCTGCAGCAATGACCTGAATGAGCATGAACAGAGACAGAAAGTAGTATGTTCACATCCATCACCAGAAATTGAAGTTTCTTGTGTCTTTCATAACATAATAATGCCTAAATGTTCGTATTCCTGTGGACTGATAAATAAATATAAAAAAAGGAGAGGCTGCAAGATTCATGTTGACATACTTATGTACAGCAGAGGAAGTAAGAAAATGACAAGATGGCTACAATAAATGTGTTGCTTGGCTATAAATTTTATACCTGTAATTCTGCCTGATCTTAAAATCCCCATAACAAAGAAACGATCTTCATCAAATGATGGGAGAAAGACATACTAAGACTAAGATAAAGGCGCATCAGAACTTTATGTCAAACCATTTACACCTTTTGGCTGTCAATTCAGCCAGCAATAAGTCCTTGATCTTTCTCTATTAATCATGCTTCTACACAGTTTTTTGGCTAAAACAACACTACTCCAACCATCACAACTTGGCTACAAACAGAATGTCTCCACATGCAGCATGTTATTGAACTAAAAGTCACATAGCAAAAGTTACAGTTCCAAATACACCAATTGGTAATATAGTGTATAAGGCCAAACCTCTGGTTGGGATAACCCAAAAGAAGTGCTCCTAAAGCAGTCCACATCGGGTCGTTGAGCCCCATTAAAATGACCAATATCCCACTCATAACCTGATAACAAACAGTGACAAAATCTTCAAACTTCCTATGGCTGAAATTATGAACATGATTGCTGTGAATTATATAGAGGCTACAGAAATAACAGGAATTGCACTCACCGTTAAACATGCATCAGAAACATGATCAAGGGCAACATGTCAAACAACATAAGAAGTGCTGTATAAACTACCAATTTTAAACAAAGTTAGCTATCAAGAACCATTCAAATGTACAGTTAAGCAGAAATGTATATGATTCACAGCATTGTTCCATCCATCACGAACACAAAATCGAAAAGAATTTCCAGATTAAAGCATATGAGGAAAAATCATTTCAATGAAAAGGCTGGGAAGTAAATACCGTTTCTCACATCCAATAAAATTTGGTTCGTTTTAAGATCCTTATTTGATGCTTCACTAGTTGTATTGACAGCTTCTAATCTTTTCCGCCATTCGGATGGCGTAAGAGGTGTTGCTCGCATTGAAGGGTCCAGCAAAGGAAGATGCGAAATACCTCCTTCTAACTGGACGTGGGGGTGAAAAGAAAATAGATGTAGACATTAGCTCACTCACATAAATTGTAATTAATTCAAAAGTCAAGAAGGAAAAAAAGAAAAAGTTTAAAAGCGAATGGAAAGGATTTGAAAGCACAAGATGTAGAAGAAAAAGAAGAAGAAGAAGAAGGCGATTGGAGCTTGCCTGAACCAGTGAAGGCTTATAGCGCAACTTGAGTTTTGGAAAGGCATGCCCATTCTGTGCTGCAGAAATCTGCACAAGAATGTCGGAAAATCTCTCATCCCCTCTTAACCATTCAACATATGCAAGCGCATCTCTTGACGGTCCACTGTACTGCACATAAAAATTCATACAAACGATTGATTACAAAAGGAAACCAAAGCAATATCATTATAGTTTATTTATACCAAGACCAAAATACATACCTGTGCATTTATCCCTTGTTGATTCACATAAATCCGCCCACGTATGTCACGACCCTCTAAGAATGAGAGATGCTTGGCCACCTCTGCCTCTGCGTCCTTGATGAACACAAAATGGTAAAAATTGACGACCACCCACTCCTTCTCCTCTCTGCTTTCGTAGGTGCATTGTTGCTGTTGTACTTGTAAAGCGACTCCCACACCACGTCCACCTTTCCATTTGCTTCTTTCTGAAAACCAAACGCATTCTCTTCGTCTTTGTCTTTGTCTTTGAATTTGGCTTTGCTGGTTATGCTCCTTATGGATTAACAAGGCAAAGCAAGTTGAGGTTGAGGAGCAGACAGATAATTCAAAAGGATCTTTCTTTCTTCTGCCCCCTAAAACAATTTGAGTCATTGTAGAGCTCGCTGCACCGGAGGTAACCGCCGGCGCCGGAAAACACCCTCTCATCTTCTCTCTCTCTCTCTCTCTCTCTCTCTCTCTCTCTAATAGCCTCTTATCTGTTGGAGGAGCTACTTTCAGTTTCAGCAATCCGTCAGTCTGAAATTACTGACTGTGACGAGAGCGAGCATTCCATTACTTATACGGTGTCGTTTTTTAGCAGGTTTTCCTTGGTTGCCCAGTCCAAATTGGAGGCCCGATTCAGATGAGGCCAAGAGCCGTAGCTGAACAAGTCAGGCCCAGGCCCAAAAAAAAGAGGCATAAATAAATAAGTACAGTTTTTATTTTTTTATTTTTTAAATACGGTTTAACTTTACGCTGCAAGTAAAAATGATTCAATCCAACAACAACAAAAAAAGTAAAAATGACTCGATATGCTTTGTGACCGAAGAAAAAGAAAAGAAAGAAAATAACTAGATAGATTGATTCTGCTGTTCTTGTTTGAGCGCAGCGAGCACGCAAGCAATCAAAAACCCTAACCCTACGGTATTGCAATTAGATTTTTTCGATTCGATTCGATTCGATTGGGGAATTAAAGGATGGGGGCGAGTCGGAAACTTCAGGGCGAGATCGACCGCGTTCTCAAGAAGGTCCAAGAAGGCGTGGATGTCTTCGATAGCATATGGAACAAGGTTTGTGCCTCGTTTTTTTGCTTAGACAACGCAAACCAGAACTGATAAATGACTAATGGGTTCTGTGCAATGTGATTAGGTTTATGATACGGACAATGCGAACCAGAAGGAAAAGTTTGAGGCGGACCTAAAGAAGGAGATTAAGAAGCTCCAGAGGTACAGGGACCAAATCAAGACTTGGATTCAATCCAGCGAAATCAAGGATAAGAAGGTCTTTCTCTTACTAGTTGTGTGAACTATGTTCAATATGCAATTATGAATTCTTTTCTACCTTGTACTTGATCATTTTGGACATGACAATTAATTCATTTTGATACATGTTGACGTAGGTCAGTGCCTCTTATGAGCAAGCTCTGGTGGATGCTCGCAAGCTTATCGAGCGTGAAATGGAAAGGTTTAAGATTTGTGAAAAGGAGACCAAAACAAAAGCATTTTCTAAAGAAGGCTTGGGCCAACAACCTAAAACCGTAATTGCCACTCCTTTGCATTTCCTTCTCTTCCCACCTCATTTTTAATCGATTCCTTATTTTTTCGGTTGATCATGTCATTGTGGAAATGCTTATTTCCTCATTGCATTTGTTGATCTTGTTTTCTGGAATGTAATTAGTTACTCTTTATACATCTTGTTTATAATGAGCGGTGCATACTCTGATTTCATGTAATTTTAGTGTAATACTAATAATCATCATAATAGCTATAATGATGATAGGAATAGTAATAATAGTAGTCATAATAATAATAATAGTAATCATCATTATTGTACTTGTTATAGCTTATACCTTGTAGCTCTTTTATCCTTATGAGAATTTATTTAGTAGTTGTTATCTAATCGCCATTCTTCTTAATAATAGGATCCGAGGGAGAAGGCCAAGTCTGAGACAAGGGATTGGATAAACAATGTGGTATGTGAAACGCTTTTGCTTAAGGTCTATTTTTACCAATTTATGTACCTTAGAAAGCGCATGAGTAGAGAAAGCAATATGTTTTAAGACGTGTCTGCTGCATTTGTAGTTTAATCATCCCTGCTTCATGTTTGGCTTGTGTCTGATATATGTTTAATTATGTCTTAATACTGTTGAATGGTTGTGTTTCTTCCATGTGTTGTGGTGTTTTAAAAGTGGGGTTCTTTAATAGGCTGATGGTTGAAATTGGTGCCTGGTCCACTAATTGAGCTTATTGTAATGTTGTTCTATTTTGGTTCAATTATTGTTTAACTCCCAATTGTATGTTGTTTCATTATAACTTGTAAATAATGGTCTTTCAATCACATTTTATGCAGTCTAATTTATAAGTTGAAATTGTAAATTATCATTCAGTTAATACTTTTGAGTTCAATTGTGTTGAGAAGGTTGGAGAGTTGGAATCTCAGATTGACAGCTTTGAAGCTGAGATTGAAGGCCTATCTTTCAGGAAAGGGAAGGGCAGACCACCCAGACTGGTAGGAGAAAATAAAAACACACCAATAGAAAATGTTGGGGTTTTCAGAATACTTTGACATTGTTTCTTTGTTCTGGCAGACCCATCTAGAGACATCTATTACTCGGCATAAGGCTCACATAATGAAGTTAGAACTGATCCTGAGGCTATTGGATAATGATGAACTGAGTCCTGAGCAGGTCAATGATGTCAAAGACTTCTTGGAAGACTATGTTGAACGCAATCAGGTTTCTGGTGCTTTACATTTTACCTTTGTTTCTTCAGCATCTCTTAAAAATCCATATATGGCATTCTCCACCATGCTTATGTATGTACTTCGCATTACCTTTATCAGACTTTTTTTAAAATGCTATTTTTAGGAGGATTTTGATGAATTTAGTGAAGTTGATGAGCTTTACAACACCTTACCATTGGACAAAGTGGAGTCCCTTGAAGATCTGGTTACTATCGTCCCTCCTGGTCTTGTCAAGGTAATTTTTCTTTTTGCAGTTTAAATTTAAGGTTCTTATGTTCAGTTGGAGTTTGTAGTTTTTTTTATCATAACTTTTTCAGAAAGGTCTCTTGTCAGTTGAAATGGATATGTGGAAAAAGGAAATTGTTAACCAACTGCCTTTTTTTATGGGCATCATGTATAAGAGTTTGCTCATGTTGTTTTATTAAGTACAGAGCAAAGTCAAATTACTCGAATTTGATCGCAAAACTCTGCAATGCCGGCAGAGATTTCTGTTCGGTGGTTTGTGGAAAGTTAATTTTGGATCTTGTGCTCCATTCAAATAACCATAGTTTCTACACCTCAGTGTTGTCATTCATTTTATACAAGTTTTCCTGACGTGTAAGAAAACTGGAAACTAGATGGCTTCCATATTCCACACTAATAGAGGTTCTCATTAGTATTTATGTTCAGATGCCATGTTGACTCATCCTCTGTTAACTGAGTTCTTAGTTGCGACTTGTGGTTGACTAATTTAAGCCTATTCCCAGTTGTTTCTTTAACTTTACAAATCAATTGTTTGCTTATGAATTTTGTTGCTTTTGTGATCTGGATTGCATGATCTTTTTCCTGGCATCAGGTGTCATTGATTTCTTAATATACTAAGATCGAAGGATTAATGAGCACGTAAAAACCCAGTTTAATTTTTCTTTTTTTTGGGGGGCAGGGTGCACCTGTGCTTGGCTTGAAGACTTCTTTGGCAGTATCCGCATCTCCAATGCCTGTACGTCCTCAAAATCTTGAGTCAATGTTATTGTAATGAGTAGGGTGTTGAGGAGTTGAAGCTGTATGGGTTCTGTTGAAGAAGCTGAAATTCACATATTTAATTTTGTATTTTAAAAAAAAAATTGCATCCTTAAATTGTGTAATGGTGCAGAATGGTGTTGAGATGTGTTTGTAGTAGACATTTTGCTACCTTTATCACATGGTGTCATCCTTGTCTCATAGGATGGGTTCAATAGTTGGTGGAGCATGGTCATCTGTTCTTGATCAAAGATGCACTTGTGTTTGCCTATAAAAATTACTGTGCAGTTGATTGACTAGCATGTACTTAAGGTGATCGTTAATGGAATTAGGTTCACTTCTAATATAAAGTGTCATTTTGCTTGCTGACATAGAACACTAAACATGAAAGAATTATCTAATTTTTAATTTATTTATTTTCTTTCGTTTATAGTAGATTTTATATCAAATTTGGTAATCAATTTAAGTTATCTTTGGTTTGTAGGAAGTTTAAATTGAACCCTAAACCCTAGTCTCTTTGCCTTCTGGTTTCCTCAGTAGAATCTGTTAGAACTTGGAGATATGTTGATGACCTCTGCTTTCTTTCTGTAAGATGCTTTATCTCAATTGGTGCTGCTGTACTAAGGGTTAATTATTATTTTTTTCCAGGCCGCAGCTACTTCCACTACTCAGCAGAGTACTTCTGTACAAGAGCCAGTTGAAGATACAGTTTCCCAGGACAGTAATGTTGATAATATTCCTAGGACTCCACCTCCTAAAAGTAGTGCACTTGCTTCTTCTCCTGCATCAACACCAGTTGGGGGTCATGCAAGTCCTCTCTCTGTGAGTGTTTCATCTCACAATTTGCCTGGTGCACCAAGTGTTTCAGCCGTTCCAGGTCCAATTGCTGTTCGTGGTGTCACAGAGAATGCAGGAGCTTCTAATTCTTCATCTCCTGTAAGTCTGTCCGCTTCTGTGAAGGAAGAAGAATTAGCAAGCTTCCCGGGCCGTAGACCATCGCCATCTCTTTCTGATGCTGGGCTTGTGAGGGGCGTTGGTAGAGGTGGCCTCTCTGCACAGATTCCATCTAGTATCCCTCTTAGTTCTAGTAATGTAGCGCCTAGTAATAGTACTCTTAGTGCAGCTCCTTCGGTTTCTGATGTGACAAAGAGAAATATAATGGGAGCTGATGAGAGAATTGGGAGTAGTAGCGTAGTGCAGCCTCTTGTTTCCCCTCTAAGTAACAGATTGATCTTGCCTCAAGCTGCCAAGGCTAGTGATGGAAGTATTCCAGTTGATTCTGGTAATGCTGGTGAGGCTGCTGCTATTCCTGGCAGAGCATTTTCTCCTTCTATGGTCTCTAGCATGCAATGGAGGCCTGGAAGTTCCTTCCAAAACCAGAACGAAGCGGTATGTTACTTTCCACTAATAAGCTTTTCCCCTCTCTGTCTCTGTCTTTCTCCCTCTGCCCCTTTTATGCTCATATGGATGCAATGTCTAATGCTAGATTAATTAGCTCCTTGCATATCTACCATTTGTAGAATTCAATATATTTTTGTGTATTGCTGCTTTGCCATTATATATCTTTATTTGACTGAATCATAGGATAGAAATTTTGTTGACCAGATCAATGTGGTGCTATTTTAATTGAACTTACCAATTATCAGGGGTTGTTTCGTGGAAGAACTGAAATAGCACCTGATCAGAGGGAGAAATTTTTGCAGCGGCTCCAACAAGTGCAGCAAGGTCACAGTACCATTCTCGGCATGCCTCCTCTTGCTGGTGGAAATCATAAGCAATTTTCTGGACAGCAGCAAAATCCACTCTTACAACAGGTATATATATATTTTTTGGTAGATTTAACTTTGAACTTCTGTTTTCTTCTGATTCCGCGAACTTCTTGTGGACAAATTCAATATTTGAAAAAGAGCAATTACTGTAGTTTATTGCTTCTAATTTATATCATACTTTCATGGAAACAGGTTTATGTTTTTTTTTTCTTTCCAGAAACATCCCGTTGGTCGCACTTTGTTTGTTGATCCAATTAGCAACATTTATTTTCTATTACTGAATAAGATATGTTTATTTGGTGCAAAAGACCAACCTGGGGTTAGTTTCAGGCCCATGGTTTGCTTCCATGTGGACTGAGGTTCTAAATCCCAAAGGGTGCCTGTGTAGCTATTTGTTAGTGTTTCCTGCCTCCCAAAGATTGTAGGGGCGGCCCCAGTTTAAAAGCTATGTCCACTAAGCGGATTGGTGGATTTCTGGGTATCAAAAGCAAAAAACAAAAACAAAAGTTGCAAAATAATTATTTTACATGAGATTTGATCATATGCGCAGTTTAATTCTCAGAACTCATCTGTATCTTCTCAAGCTGGCCTCGGACTAGGAGTACAGGCCCCAGGTCTTGGTACTGTTGCACCTACCACCTTACAGCAGCAGCTAAATTCTATCCATCAACAGTCTAACCAACAGGCATTGATGTCGAGTGGACCAAAAGAAGCTGGTAATCTCCATCTTTATTCAGTTCACGCTATTGTTAAAATATTTTCATTTTATTTACTGGCGCTTTTTTGTCATGAGGACACTTTGATTTCTTCCACCAAGAATTGAAACTCTGAATTGAATGCAGAAAGTGCAAAGTATGTCTTCTGAAATAATAAAAAGTCCATAACCAACAAAGAGTGAAAGTGTATTGTCCAAACTCCCACTACTCAAACACGTGGGGTCTGATTTAAAAAGTAGTGGACTGTATTGAGCAGCCCTGTGTACGTGGGTGCAATATGATCGAAACTGAATAATCTCCTGTTTTATGCGATGCAGATGTTGGTCATCCAAAAGTTGAGGACCAGCAGCAACAACAAAATATACCTGATGATTCAACTGCGGACTCTACTCCGGTTTCTGGGCTCGTAAAGAATCTAATTAATGAGGATGATTTGAAAGCCTCATATGCAATTGATTCTCTGGTATGCTGAATATTTTTCTTGATTACTATATTATGAGTCCTTGCCGACTATATAATTTTTTACTAGTTATACATTATTCTTGCATAGGTCAGGTAGTTAATTGTTATCAAAATTCACTATATGATTCTGTTAAACAATGGATAGACAGGGTAAGATGAACATGGTGGCTACTGTATATGTACTGCCTGCCTAAGTGGATTCTATACAACGATAGGCATAAAAAGTTGTGTCAAACTTAATTTATTTCAAAATGCCTTAAATATAATAAATTACCAATAAATAATGATGATTATTCGATATATTTATACAAGTCTTTAGGCTAATTTAGTTGAGTTACAAATGTTTATGTTCTCCATAACTCTCTGCATTTCTCTACGTACTATTTCATGCTTTTCATTGTGGTCAATCAATATCAATACTTGTATTCAAATATAATCCTCATAATGTGTTTAAATATAATTGTTTACTTGATATGTCTAATCTTAGGGCCCATATTATTTATTTAATACATTTGGGAACATATATTATATCAGAGTCGCTGGTGGTGTCTTTTTTCTTTTATCGGGCCATTGTTTTGGTTCTGATATGTGTAAATCATATTTTTTCTGTAAGATTATTGCAGTGTGCATCATGGACATGCTGATTTATTTGGAGAAGAATGGATGGTGAATGTGACTTACTTGTAAAATCTTTGTGTTTGTAGGCTGGAGTTTCTGGCTCTTCTACAGAGCCTGCTCAAGTACCACGAGATATCGATCTCTCTCCCGGGCAACCTTTACAGCCCAATCAACCTTCCGGTAGTCTTGGTGTTATTGGCCGAAGAAGTGTTTCTGACCTTGGTGCAATTGGTGATAACCTTTCTGGATCAACTCCTAATTCTGGGGGAACGCACGATCAGTTGTATAATTTGCAGATGCTTGAGGCTGCTTATTACAAACTTCCACAACCCAAAGACTCGGAACGTGCAAGGAGCTACACTCCAGTATGGACCCAATTATCTTTACTATTTAATCTCCTTTTTATTGTGCATGAAGCTTAAGTTTTTTCTTCAATACTTATCTTCCTTCCTTTTGCCATCTACAGAGGCACCCTGCAATAACTTCTCCTAGCTACCCCCAAGCACAAGCACCTATTGTTAACAATCCTGCCTACTGGGAACGTTTGGGTCTTGAACCATACGGCACTGATACCCTGTTCTTTGCATTTTACTATCAGCAGGTACTTCTTATAAGTTCATTTACATTTGATGCTGTCCTTTAATACAATCACTATGAAGTATGAACTTGTTCTCAAGTGCATTACTGTATGCAGAACACTTATCAGCAATATTTGGCGGCCAAAGAGTTGAAGAAGCAATCTTGGAGATACCACAGGAAATATAACACTTGGTTTCAACGACACGAGGAGCCAAAAGTTGCCACTGATGAATATGAACAGGGGACATATGTGTACTTTGACTTCCATATTGCAAATGATGATCTACAACATGGATGGTATGATTTTATTGATCCTTAAGTTTCAAGTTCAAGTTTCTGTGTTTCTTCGTACTTGGTGTTCTTATGTGAAGTCTAAGGTGCAAGTTTTCATTTGGATGCTCTTATGTATATTTCAACTTGTGGAGATACTCATACCTCCCTTTGCCTCAAGATATTTGAGTAAGAGGAGCAAGATTTTATTATTGGAGAGATCATTTATGAGGCATGTGGTTGCTGTTATTTTGTCTGCATCTAGCGCAGGGAGAGTCTCTTTGATGTAAAATTTGCTTCAATTTTCTCCCTGTTTGGCTCTTTGATGCTTTGATGATTGACAGTCATTATCATTAATCTGTTTACATTTTGGTGGCTTTGGGGCTTGGTTTGCATGAGGGAGTGGTGCTGATCCTCCTGGCATGCACAACGCATATGCACGCACATCCTCCCAAACAACACACAGTTGAATAGTGAAACAATCACTTAATTTGGGAGGCAGGCTTATGCTTGACATTTCTGTTTCCTTTGATGATATAATATCTCTTTTCCAATTACATAATGATTTAACGATGGTTATATGTGATGTTTTGATATGGTACAGGTGTCAAAGGATCAAAACCGAGTTTACTTTTGAATATAACTATCTTGAAGATGAACTTATCGTTTAGGAGATGTTCAGAGGATGCTATGCTACCACATTGAGCATGTCATGGTCAACTTCCTGGTTTGTAATTTTTTACTTTCCTTTTTTGTCATATAATGTGCCTCTCGTCTCGTTCATAGTATATATTTTAGGCTCCTGGTTGGTACCTTATGGTAACATAGAGAGTTGAACTGGAAACACGTGAGGCTTTATTAAATGTTGTTGTTGTTTGCAGGTAATAATACAGTCAGAATATTGGTGGTGGGAGCTTGTTGATGGTTACAGGTTTACTAGGCTTAATGTTGTTGATGGTATCTACTGTCTAGTGTTTGATCTTTTTCCTCTTTTTTTTTTTTTTATAACTGTAAAAGGGAGACTATTTTTGTCTTTTCCGTCTATAATGAAATACAAATGCATATTGTTTTATTTAGCTCATTATGTATATTGACGAAAGCAGAAGGCAAAGTTGAAAGCTCAAAAGCTCAATTGCTTGCTAGTACTAGTAGGTCTAGTAGGGTGCTATGCTATGGGCTATGGGCTATGGGGTATGGGCCCCACTAATTTCTTCTAGGTTATTAAGCTTTGGTCGTAGCTCTTTTCAGTTTAACGTGCTGAGTGAGTTCTACTTGGACTTGTTTTCCTGAGCCTATCTTTTACTTTGATTTTCCACTAGCAAGAGCAACTAATTGTTCAACTTAATAATATTACTTCACTCGAATTATTGACTGACATCAATCAAACGGGAATTATTGACTGGGAAGATGATACCGTATTCGGTTATCCCTTTCTATTATTACCAAATCTAAATCTTGGTGTTTTAAAACTTTGAATGCTTGAAACTGTTCATATCGTATCGTATTGTATGCGTGTTCATTCATCGTATCTCCATCGATACAAAATTAAAATTAAAATATTGGTTTTTCTTTCATGAATAATGACTCGAGTTAGAGTAATTGTTCTTCTTATCCATGTTACAACCAAATTAACGACCTTAATTGACGATTACAATCGCTAATAAAAGTCATGGAATAATTATTTGAAACTGGTTCAGCATAGCACAGTGCACACAGTAAGTTAGTAAAACTCGTAAGTTGGTCAAAGTGGTAATTATAATGTAAGCTGTGAATGAGACGTGGCAAGGTTCAAGCAAGGGAGCAAACCAAGCGAAGCGAGAAGCGAGAAGCGAGAAGCGAGAAATGGAGGTGGTGGTGTTACCTCTACCTGGTCCCGGATCCAATAACAAGTCCCTCTGCGGCCTCTCCTCCTCCACCGCTGCCGCCACATCGTATTTTAGACGACGCCGTATTGTCGCCGTCACCAATTCCACCATCAACGGTTCTCACTCTTCTTCATCAGCAGAGGCAGAGGAGGACATCCAGATTGAGGAAATCAGGGTGTGCACCAACCGGACTTGCCGTAGACAAGGTTCCTTTCAAACCCTTGACACCCTCACCGCTCTCGCTCCCCCCAACTTCGCCGTCAAGTCCTCCGGCTGCTTGGGCCGCTGCGGCGCCGGCCCCAACCTCGTCGCGCTGCCTGCCGCCACTTTTGTCTCTCACTGCGGGACCACCGCTCGAGCCGTGGAGGTCCTCGTGGCACTAGTACTACTCAGCCGCCGCCGACGAGGAGGAGGTGTTTCGAATTCGGACAGTGCTAATGCTAATAAGAACATTGAAAAAATTGCAAACAAGAGTTTGGAAGCGCTTGCGTTGAGAAACAAGGCTCGGAATGAGCTTCTTCACAACAACAATTTCTCCCAGGCTGACCTCTTCCTCTCTCAGGTTACTATTAACACTAATATTAATTTCATGATTAATTAATTAATCATGTTGGTTGTTCCTTCCTTCCTTGCTTGCGTGCTTGAAATTTGATTTACTGAGCCTTGAATTAATTGGTGGATGGCTTGCTTCCTTGCTTCCTTGCTTCCTTGCAGGCTATAGAATTAAAACCAATTGGTGGTATCCATATTATGTATAAAGACAGGTCCCTTGCAAGACTGGCATTGGGCAATTATTCCGGGGCTCTTGAAGATGCTGCACAAGCTTTGGCTCTAAATCCTCTCTATCCTGAGGTGCCCTCATTATTTTATTCATTCATTAATTAATTTCTCATTCCACCAAGTTTATTACTCACTTTCAAAGTCCTATAAAAGTTCATCATAATGTGCATCTTGCAGGCTTACATTTGCCAAGGTGATGCATTCTTGGCTCTGAACCAATTTGATTCTGCTCATAACTCATATATGGCATCTTTAGAGATAGATCCTTCTCTTCGACGTTCCAAAGCTTTCAAGGTATAAATGTATTAGCTATTAGTCAATTTCGATGACCGACCTCAGATTCTGTATATCTCTATTTTGATCTTTTGGTTTTAATCTTGGGAAAGTTGGTCACTCCTCTAAATAGTTCTTTGTGGAGTGTTTTGGAAGTTGCATGTAATAGTTTCTTCTTTCCTTATTTTACGATCTCTGCATAGCTCAGCTGTACAGTCAAATAATCCTTGATGTCATCAGCATTGCATTGTTTCACATTTTAATGCTGTCATATTTTCTCACCATTTACGCAGGCTCGGATTGCAAACCTTGAGAAACTAACAACTGGAAATATGCCTTAAGATCTGCAATGTGCCTGGAGCTGTTTATAAATCAATTACAGAGCTTTGATGATAAAAGGCAGAGTGTTTATTCATCTTCTATCCAGGTTCAAATTTTACCCATACATCATCAGTTTTTCTTGCTATAACTGTTTGCAGGTTTCAGACTTTTTTTCACTGGAAACTTATAAATACTAATAGCAATACTAATAATAAATCATTTTAAGAATGTTATACTAATGATAATTTTTCAAAACAATAATAAATCGAAACAAGCCCAAAAAAAAAAAAAAAAAAAACACTATGTTCCTTTCACTGCACTATACTTACCAGGACATCACAGACATGAATTCTATTTCCCAATCTCAGTTCCTGGAATTTGAGAGAAGTGTCCAGCCATTTTTGGCCTCGATGGTGTGGGTTGTACCACTGTATTAAAGGAAGGTGGTAAGGAGAAGGAGGAAGATGATTGTACTGATGAATGGGTCTGCTATAGGAGGAGCATTTTTATCTTTTTCCTTTTGAATCAATTGCAACTGCTATGATAGTATGTATATATTCAAAGTTGTAAGGTTTTTTTTGGGTTCATGAGCCTAGCACTATGTCATAGGGTGGGTGGGGGGAGCTCACATTATGCTGATGTCACTTGATTTGGTTGTCGTGTAATCAACCTTAGACTTTTGTTATACTAAGGATCAGTATCCATTGTTTATTTCTACTGATCTTCTAATCTACACAACACGTTACGTTACATAGTGCTCTCATTTCCAATTGTTTAGAGACATTCATCGACGAGTTTCAGAAGTGTCATTTTTTCATCTCGACTCTTGAGTGTGTGGTGGAATCGAATATGTTTAAAGAAGGGGTTCCGCCAAGTCCTACTGCCTACTGTACAGTTGCCAAAACACAACTCAAACTCCGCAAATTCATTTCAAGGCTTAGAAGTTTTTTCAGGGATTAAATATTTAATACATTCATGATTTGGGGCCTATGGTGTTCAATTTGCTACCCCTATAAACTTAATGTAGACATTGCAAGAGATCATCTCATAAGATTCTATTGGATTTGGATGATATTAGGGTACCAAGTGTCGCCATAAGAATGTAGTATCCGAGTTTCTCTATTGAGAAAAGTTTAATATGCTAGGCTGCTAGTACTCTACTGGAATGACCATGGAGTGAAGTCAACAGGGTACAACCATTAAGTTACGTAGAGTTTTGATTACGTCCACATAGAAACAAATCCATGTTCTTGACCCGTTCCCACAAACTAGAAGAAGAACCCTTCTTCTCCTTTCTGACGCCAATCTCCTTCCCACTACCATTACTATTACCTCCTCTCTTGATCAGCCTCCGATTAATCTTCCGTATCTGAAAGCAAACCTCCAAATTCACCTGATTACCATTTATCTTGCTCTTGTTGATGTTGCAACTCTCTTCTTCTTCTTGTACAAGTTGAAAGGATCGTTCGTCTCTCTTCACAAGTTGCTCATAGTAGTCCTTGTTCCTCTTCTCCAAGCCGTAAATCTGTCCCTGAAGGTCCTCGATTTTACGGCTAAGCATGCACACCCTCTGGTCTTCCCTCATCTTGAGCAAACACCGAGCCAGCTCGCCGGCCTTCCTCCTGATGAAGAGAGACTCGGACGCAAGGGCTTTGTTCTCTTCCACCAAGGCACCCACTTTATACCCCAACTTGGCATTCTCATTGAGTAAGATGAGCCTCTCAGACTCCAACACCTCTAGCAAGCTCTTCTGCAGCTCTATCTTCCTGGATGCATCCTTGTATCGCCTCTCCGTCATGTTGGCCTCATCAAGTAAGATATCATATTCGACATTCTTCACCACAATCTCGGTAACGATGGAATCTAAATCAAACAACATGGTCTCATCATGTTGAGTAGCAACAGAAGCAGCGAGGAGTAATGTTGGAGGCAATTGCTGAAAGGAGAGGGAACTCTCTACGTCCGAATCAATGTGGCTTAAGTCAGCATCATCATCAAACCCTTCTTGGTCGTCATAGTCATAGTAGTCATTATCTATTACTGAGATTTGGGAAGAGGGTGGTAGGTGATGCTGAGTCTTGGCGACAGTCTGAATGTAACGGTCAGATAAGGTGAGGTAGGAATTGTACAAGTCTCGAAGCAGGGAGAGCAGCTGAGGACGTCTTTTGTAGTAAGCTTCAGCACGTTCTGCGAAGGTGTCCCCAATCTCTTGTTGAGATGAGGCTCTGCTACAGCCCAACGTCTTCATCTTCTCTTCCACATCTGACATAAAATTACATTTACAAATATTGTAATCTTGTTTGAATATTACAATTAAATTTAAATGACATCCATTATTCATCATGTCCCATATTTTCAAATTGCATTCCAATTCCAACGAGCACATCCATTATTGAGATAAGCACCAAATTGAAGTTTGAAGTTTGAAGAGAGAAATTGAGATAAGCACCAAATTGGAAAAAAAGATATTGAATTTCACAATGATAGAAGAAAGCAGAAGGGGCTGACGCGTATTTAATGTATGGTCATTGGTCAGAGGGAGAGAGAGTCATGTTCCTATCCAAGTTAGTAGTGTGCCTATTTATTTATTTGTAGCAGAAGAAAACACCAAACCAAACGAAAAAAGGAAGGACATGTCACTGTCCATCCTTCCATTCCATGAAGATTCCCTCTTGTAATTATTTAAGGCTTCAAGTTTAAATCGAATTTGAAAAGAAACAGATCATTGGCAGCAAAGCAAAGCAAATTGTAATAATAAATTGAAAAAAAGGGCATGGAGGAATGCTCATTGAAAGCGACGTTAGGAGAGAAAGGTCGCTACCTCGAATATGAACAAAATCAATTATATATATAGTGCGACAAGGAAAAAGCCTATAGTAGCTTAGCTTTCGTCAAATCAGAGTTTCAAATTCAAATTACACAGCACAGCACAGCACAGTGTCATATCACATCATCAGATTCAGATTAAGATTCAGATGCAGGAACAGGAAGAGAAAGAGAGAGAGAGAGAGAGAGAGTTGGTACCAGCAAGGATGGACAAAAGCCATTTGGGTTTCACGGTGGAGGGGGTGGTGCA